CGGTGCGAGGCTGCCACTCGAGAACCTTTCTTCCCCAACGGTTGTCGGTTCTTTGAGCTATATGGCCGGCCCATTGCCACTTCAGCTTACTAATCCGTTGGGCTATTTCAGTGGCGGATATCCCCATTTCTAAGTTTATCATGCAGAGAAACTCCAAGCATAGCCCTCCCTATAGCTCGCTAAGCGACTTTGAGCGTCCTCATACGGCCAGCAGTGAAGGACCACGTCTCGGTTCCGTAAGTCATCACTGGCAACACGCACTGGTTGTACAACTTAGTTTTCAAGTTTTGAGGTATACCTAACGAGAAGATGCATCGTAATTTCCCAAACGCTGCCCAGCCGAGTTGAATCCATCGGACTATTTGTGCCATGTAAACGTACTCGTCAACAACTTCAAGTTTAGTGCTCCCAACAACTACCGGCATAGGTGTGACATGGACATTAAACATGATCTTTGTTTCGTCCATGTTCATCTTAAGATACGGAAGGCGTTGGGAGGCACTATTGAGGTCATTGAGAATAGTGCTTAAGTCCTCTAGCGATTCTGCCATAGGGACTATATCGTCGGCAAATCGAAGGTGAGTGATGTACTCGCCATTGATGTTAATACCGTATCCTTTCCAGTCCAGTAGCTTGAAAACGTCTTCCAACGTAGCGGTGAAGAGTTTCGGGGAAATAATGTCACCTTGTCTTACACCTCTCTGCAGTTGGATAGGTTTCGTACTCTGGTTCTGTACTCGGATAGCCATCGTAGCCCTACTGTACAAACACTTCAGCACTTCATTATACCGACAGTCAACTTGGCACCGCTGAAGAGACTGTAGCACCGCCCAAATTTCGACGGATTCAAAGGCTTTCTCATAGTCCACATACGCCAGGCAAAGTGGCAGATTGTACTCTTCGGACTTCTGTACAATTTGCCGAAGGGTATGTATGTGGTCTATGGTACTGAAGCCTTTTCGGAAACTGGCTTGTTCGGGAAGCTGGAAGTCGTCGAGTCTACGTGCGAGACGATTCGTAATGACTCTCTCAAACAGCACATAGACGCGGATCACAAGGGGTATCGGTCTGTAGTTCTTCAAGAGGGCGTTGTCACCTTTCTTGAAGAACAAGACCACCGCACTTCTGCTCTACGCCTCTGGAGTAGTGCCACCATGGAGGACGGAATTAAAAAGCCTCTGAAGGACTTCAAGTACATGTTTTCCACCAGCTTTCAGAAGCTCCGCTGTAATTCGAGGGTGGAATTACAGAGGAGCTTCTGAAAGCAGGTGGAAAACATGTACTTGAAGTCCTTCCGAGGCTCTTTAATTCCCGGGGACTTGCCGTTTTTAAGGTGCAGGAGAGCCATTCTAATCTCGCTCAACTGACGTCCGGAATATCATCGGAATAGTGTCGGATAAGACTTGCTCTTGGATCCTTACTCACACTTGCGTGTGGCTCCAACGATGATGTGCTGCCCATAGAACCTCTCAATCCCACTCAAAATCTCAGGTGTCCCGGAAATAATGCTGCCACACTCAGTATTCAGCTTTGACAGTTGGCTCTTACTGGCAGACAGATCTCTGGCAAAGACTTTGGAGCCTTGGTTCCGCTCGATCGCTTCTTCAATACGAGCAGTATTGAAGTTGCGCAAGTCTCGCCGCATGCATTTGGAGATCTGTCTGTTCAGTTACATGTATGCTGTCAAGTCTGTTGACGATTGCAGCCTCTCTAACAGCCATGAGCTTAAGAGTGTGATCGGAGAGTTTTTGTGTTCTTCTGCGGTGGGTCTTGCAGAACTTAGCTCCGACCGCATGGATAGTTTCCACGAGCTTGTGATTTATATCTTCCACTGCATTGCAATCTTCTAGGCACTGAAAGCGGTTACGTAACTTGAGCTGAAAAGTTTCGGGATTATGGATTAGAGCACGAGGGGGACGGAGCGTTGACTTCATTAGACGAGACCTCTCCAACTTAACGTTCAGGTTCAGTGTGCCTCTAACCATTCGGTGATCGCTGCCAGTTTTCACCCTTGCGATCACTGAGACATCACTGAACAGTTGGCGTCTGGTCGTCATAATGAAGTCAATCTCATTTTTGTCGAACCGTCGGAGCTCGACCAGGTCCACTTCCTGTGGGGCCGCTTCTGGAAGAAAGAGTTCATCATAAAGAGTCCCTCTTTCTCCATAAAGTCGGCCAGCTGCTGGCCCCTACGGTTCCATTGCCCTATTCCAAATTTTCCTAACTTCAGCTCACCGCTTTCTCTTGTGCCTAGTTGTGCGTTGAAGTCTCCCATTAACACCGTGTAGTGGGTTTTGGAGGAATGCATGGCTCTGGAAATATCCTCATACATTTCCTCCACCTACTCATCCGGATGTGGCAAGGTTGGTGCGTAAGCCTGTATGACCTTCAGCGAATATCGTTTGGTGATTCTGATTATCAGGTACGCGACCCTCGTCGACACACTCTCGATCTTTACAACGTTGTTGACGAAAGACTTGTGGACGATAAATCCGACACCTCCTTGGGACAGATGGTCGCCCTCCCGGTGATAGAACAAGTTGCCGGACTCGAGGATTACCGTGTCCTCCCCCTCTCTTCGGACTTTCGATAATCCAGTAATATGCCAGCGCAACTTGTCTACCTCTTCTTCCAGCTCCAGTATCTTCTCGTCAGTCCTCAGGGTGCGTGCGTTATATGTTGCCAGGTCGAGTCGTCGTAGGTGACAACCGAACCTTCACCGGAGATTCTTAGCACCCCTTGCCCCTCCGTTACCATGGTCGCCACCGTAGCCAGAAATAGCGGGGCCGCCGGGGACTGGGAGCCGTTTGTTCGCGTCGTTATTCATGGGGGGATATTTGCCATAGTTGACACGCTTGGCGAGCGGGTTGGCAACCGCAGTTTTTTTATTATATTATTGTTGTTATTAGGATGCTGCAGCCCATCTCCTGCCTGTCTCCCTCTGTCACCTCTTACGACACCCACGGGAAGATATGGGGTAGTGGATATTCTCAACCGCCACTACACGGCCACAACGATTTCACGACGAGCATTCGACTGCAACAAGCAACTGCACAAGCTGAATAGATGACTGCCTCTGAGACAGTGGGTGTGTTACACTCTACTTACGGTTTGCCGAACACCAGGAAGCTAGGAAAAGAATTACGCACAAACACTCTTGACACTACAACAAGCGTCCGATAAACTTCACTTGTGCGCAGTCCCCCGGGACAACGCGCTTCGTGCACCACACTGTGAGCACTAATACGGTCACCAAACACACAGAACAAAGCAGTAGCTGGGCAAAAGGAGGAAAAAAAATATCCCTTTGTTTAATTTAAATAAGAAACAAATCGCGCACATGAATTGGTAGAGTGGAGTGACGGGAGTGACATTGACCAACACGTCGGGAGTCAACCGAAGTCAAGGCAGGAATCGTAATCATGGTAATGTAATGTCGTCTGTGGTAATCTTGAATTAGAAAGCGCATGTCAGTAGAGTGAGGTCTAAGCTTCCGGGCTTCTCATATGCATTACGCGAAATTTAAAAAAAACTACCGACATAGAAACGACAATAACAACCTACTATGCGTATGCGCACGCTTGGCTCAGTTACGGCATCATTCAGCTCAGATGCAGTCTCTCTATTCACTCTCCAAAAGAAATTAATTCGGATCGTAGCGAATATAGATCAGAATAATAGCTGCAGACCGTTTTTTCTTAAATATAAAATATTAACCTTACCCAGTTTATACAATATTGAAAATGTGTAAATTTTTTCGAAAAAATTAGCAATTATATACAAAACAGAAAGATTAACCATGCAAGTACACGGTACCTACTACATAAAAATAAATTAGTACTGCCAACTTCCCGATTAAAACTAAACAATTCTAGTACATTTAGTTCTTCCATAAAATTATATAATAAACTACCTGACATAATAAAAAATAAAAATATTGAAATCATGTTTATTTCCAAAAAAAATAAAAGATTTCCTAACTAATAAATGTTACTATAATACTAATGAATGTTTTATAAATAATACATAAAATATATCATTTAAATTGACCTATATTTCAAGAGACCATATGACGTTTTTATAGCCCCTTATCTTTTTACACCATATGCTGCAGAACTAAGTTTGCTACCTAGTTTAGATATATGGGGGATATATTAGATATATAAACCTATTGAAGCTTCGCCTCAGCTATAATTCTGATAAAACTTTGGATTCAACAAGACTCACCTCCGCCCCATTTATAAGAATACTGGTATTCAACGGTTTAACAAACATATTATGTTGTGAATACAATACAATTCGTTTTATTACTCTTTCAAAGTTAACATTAAACCCGTGTATTACACATGATATAGCATAATTCACTTCATCATATTTAACAATTGCCGTTTAAGTATGAATATCAAAGAAGTGTCACCAGCAGATAAAACTATATAGTTATTCCCTACCAAGGAAGGTAAGCCACTAATATAAAATAATAACAGGAAGGGGGGGCAAGAATTGGGACCTGAGGAACATACATAGATACTACCGGCCCGGAAGAGCTACTTCCATTAATCATAATGTTTGTGTTCTATTAACTTAAGTTCAAATAATAGAGCAAAATTTTATGATCAATACTTCGAGAGGGGATTAAACGATGGGTTAAATTAACACGCCGTTTAATTAAACTGTAACATAACCGAGGGTTGACATTACGGACCTTATAGACTACCCTTAGAATCTTCTAAATCATAGATTAAACCCGTGACTATCAATAAAACACCGTTTGTAAAGAGACGGATTAAGTTGTACCTCTGTAATTCACCTACCTACTCACTTAAATAAATATAAATAAATAAACGTGCGTAAATTTTAATTAATTATATATATATATATATATATATATATATAAAAAAAAAAAATATATGTAATCATATATTTTAATAGTCTGGAGTGAATTTGTAATGAAGCTAGCCAACTGGTTTCACATAAAGTAATATATTATTGTTTGTTAACAGATGGGAAGTGAAATACATATTGAAGACTTCTGTTATTAAAGGCTTCTCGACTGCTTTGATGGTGTTCACAGAGCGTTTCATCCTATTCGCGGCAATCGTAGCATTCGTCTTGTTGGGTGGTGATATACGAGCCGAAATAACGTTTTCTCTAGTGCAATACTTCAATCTCTTGCAGTGTGCCTGCAACATATATTTCCCATGGGCTCTAGCATTTTTGGCGGAATCGATGGTCTCCGTCCGAAGATTAGAGGTATTTTAACAACGGTCCATAAATAAATATATAATTATACTTTTGAACACTATCTATAGATTTCTTACCTTTCTTTTTCCAGGAATTCCTGTTGTTGGATGAACTAAAATCACTTAAAACTAAAGATATTTTATCTGATTCTAAAGGCCCCATTACTAATGGCGTGAATAAAGAAAAACAATTGGAGCAGGACAAACTAAATCCAACAGGATTGACACTAACCAATATTAGTGCTAGTTGGTCAAAGAACACTATCGGAGAGACTTTGAAAAATATAACATTGAATGTAAAATCCGGAGAGTTCGTAGGTGTCGCTGGACTTGTTGGATCAGGAAAGGTTGGCATTATAAGAATAAAGGCTGAATGAACTTTCATTGATATAAAGGATAACGATGTTTTTTAGAAAGTACATGATTTGGTGGAGAAAAGTCAAAACTATTTCTTATTTTACATCAAAGTATTTTGCATCAAATTTTAGTGATTATCTGCATCAAAATGTTTTTCCTTTTTTGCAGTCAAGCCTATTGCAACTAATTCTGGGTGAGTTAGAACCATCGCACGCTCTCTTTAAATCGCCCACTCTTTACTTTTGCTACCGTGCGTCAGAATATTCTATTTGGACTGCCCTACGATCGCGTGCGTTACAAAAAGGTAATAATGACGTCTGGATGCGGCTGTGGGTGCGTAAAGACATCGATTTTAAATGGATTACCACCCTCGTTTTATTTTATATCCTTAGTACTTAATCCACATAATTATTTTTAATTAAATACTATGCTTCAAAGATTAATTTAATATATTTAAATTAAAATCAGTAAATATTTTCCCGTTTAATGTATTAGCTGACATCTTCTAAAGTAATTAATCCATAAAAAGTATTGCAATTAGCTTAATAAATAATATATAAAAATCATTCTGTCATAAGGAAAAAAAATCAAATTAAATGAAATTCAGATTTCTATTATGAAATTATTATTTGTAACTTAATAACATAAATAAAAAAACATGGAATGAACAATTTTATTTATGTGTATTTATTACATAAAGCAAGAAATTTAAATAATTTTTGTTAGCTAATAAAATTTGTTGATGCAAAATACATTACGACACAGTAGGATTTTTTAAATAAATGAATAATATTAGGTCGAGGAAAAAGATTATTCGTATTTTATATACAAATTCGACATTTTTTTTTTCAAAGATTAATTACGTTTTATTATAATATATACCTAGTTATGCATCCCGGTATTCACGGAACTGCACCGGAGACCATAACAATTCAAGCGTAAGCGTGGGCGTAGATTGCTGAATTGCGTCTGGAAGACGGGTGGTCTTTGCTGTGAATACTGATAACTGTTCTTTAGCTTAAAGATCTAGAATAAGAATTAGGATAGTCTTAGTTTGACTCGGACATGTAGCCTTATCCATCGCGGATTAATTAAGTAGTATATAAGTAATGTATCGCACATTAATAGTTATAAGTTTATTAATAAAGTCTTTTTAAAAACGTCCTGAGTCAATTTCGAATCTTGACTAGCGCAGCCGGTAGGATTTAGCGTGTAAAGCTTGCTCATAGAAGACTCCCAAACCAGTCGTCGTGAAGCAGTTTACGGTGCCGTCTTGCACTTTTGCGAAATCTACGAACCGAAATAAATTTGTCGAACTCGAAACAGGACATCAAGAAAGACTTCCAAGACTTCCTAGCCCAGGCGAAAGGATGAGATCGAGTGTACTGTGAGTAAATCTTTTCACGTCCATCTCTGTTCCCATCTATTTTGCTTGCTAGAATTATAGTGTTATTTGATTTTTCTTAAATCGAATAAAATAAATATCACAAGCATAGGCAATTTATTATATATCATTAAGTTTATTAATTAAATATTGAAAATTAATTTTGAATAAATAAAATGTATTAAATTGTGTTATAAAAAATAAAAATTACATAATTAAAGAAATAAAAGGATATATTAAATAAATAAAATTAATAATTATATAAATTAAAATTAATAATTAAATAAAATAAAAAAAAAATTAATAATTAAATATTATATTAATATTAAATAAAATGGAACAATTACGTGTTATACCTAAGGATTTACTTTGTCTTATACCTAAGTTTGAAGGAGAGGAAGGATTATTAAATTTATTTATTAAGAAAGCTCAGTACATATACAGGTCTTTCGCAGACCCTAATAATGCCACACAAACATTATATGTATTCCATGCGATAAGCAGCCGATTAACAGGTAGGGCAGAACATTTGTTAAGTGAGCGTGATGATATTAATTGTTGGAATACGCTTAAAGATATTTTAATTCAACATTTTGGCGATCCGCGTTCGGAAGATTGCATAGCTATCGAATTAGAACAAATGAAAATTAAGTCTGGTGAATCATTTATCGATTTTTGTCATAGGATACAACATATGCGTAGTAGCTTATTCGCAAAAGTCAATCTAATACAGGACGAAGGAGTAAAAGCAGCTAAAATGATAGTGTACAATAATATGTCACTAAATGTATTTCTTTATAATTTACCCGAGGATTTAATTCGTATCGTGCGTTTTAGACAGTGTACTAGATTAGAATCCGCTTTAAGTGTAACCGAGGAAGTGAATTTCATGAACCAATATAATGCGAAAAATAAAATGTAACAGAATATAACATCCCAGAATTTTAAACCCCAACAAAGTGTTAATATTTTACCTAATAATAATTCATCGTATTTTAAATTTGCAAATCCACACGTTGGACCCCAGAATAAATTTCTATTGCCTATAATAATTTTAAATTTGGTATCCCCCAGCAGCAACAAGGTCAAAGATTTGTTGTTCAAAATAATTTAATAATGGCCCAAGATTTAATAATAATACGGGACCACAGAAATTTAATTTTGGTATTCCAAACCAGCAACCTAATTTTAAATTTGGCATACCTCAACAACATCAGGGCTTTAGGTCATCCATGAATAATCATGCGCGACCCCCACTAGGTTTTACAAATCAACCTCAAAATAATTTTAAATCTGGCATTCCTCAACAACAGCAGGGCTTTAAGCCACCCATGAATAATCATGCGCAACCCCCACTAGCTTTTACAAATCAACCCCAAAATAATTTTAAATTTAGTATACCCAATCAGAATCTCCAAAAACAAAATTTAAATGAAACTACCGATGTCTCTATGCGTACCGCATGTCCGATAAGACAAAATATGCTAGATGACTCTAGGGTTCCCCAAAATAACGAGATATTCTATAGTAACGAACCCGAAATACCAGCGGAATATTATAGCCATAATATAAATTACTGTGACGCGAATAATTACACGTATAATTTAGAAGTGCCCCAATTTGAAGTAGAACCGTATAGTGAAATAGAAGAAGTAAGTCACAATCCTAATATAATTTCGAATGATACCGAAAATTTTCAGATAGTAGCCCCCCAATCCACCCCCGAAATAATACAAATAAATTGTGATACGACTTTTAAACTCCCGCATATCGAAATCCCGGAAATTCAGGCTCGTTTTATGATAGACACCGGAAGCACGAGATCTTTTATAAGTACATCTAAGGCAGAACAATATTTCTCCGCTTTCAAATTACATGAACCTTTCGAAGTTATGAGTACGTATGCACGTAGCCAACATAACGAAGCTATATGTATCCCACTCTTTAAAACATTTAAAAGTTTAGAAAAACATAAATTCTATGTATATGACGTCGATAGTATATATAACGGTTTAATAGGTTCGGATCTTTTAAAACAACTTGACGCCTCAATAGATATGAAAAACCAAATATTGCATACAAGTGACACAAATATATCTATTATATATAACCCCCCATACGAAATTAAATCGGAACCAAGAACGGAAACGCAAATCATAGTCCTAACGAATATGCAGAATGAAAATGCGATAGTAGATTATGTCGATTTTGGTCAAGGTGCTAGGATGCCAAGCGCTATAGTAAAATGCATCAATTCATTTGCAGACACGGTGATACAAAATACGTCCGACGATAGGGTTACCATGACATCCTCTAAGCCCCTAAAAGTAACCAAAGAAATTAAAAGATTACAAAATAAGGACATAAAATTTCTAATCCCCTAAAAGTAACCAAAGAAATCGAAAGATTACAAAATAAGGACACAATTTTCTCTAAGCCCCTAAAAGTAACTAAAGAAATTAAAAAATTACAAAATAAGGACATAATATTTATAAAAGGCACGAATGTTAGTAGAAGTAAGGATAAAGCGCGTTACGAAAAATCAGAGGTCATAGGAGATATAGTTAGAAACACAGTACCAGTTAAGTATCACGGTCAAAATACGAGGGCCCCAATTAAGGATATAAAACGTCCTCCACAGGTTCATTCTGTTCCTGCTGCAAGTCTTCAGGACCCAGGCCCTTCTACTTCAACCGATTGTCCGAAATTCCGGCATACTACCGATAAAGGAGGGACAAGCTCTCATTAGTAACGATAAGTGGTCTTTAGTTAAGATATTAGACTTAAGCTTAATACGTGAGGATCTAGAATTTAATAAGAATCGATACGATAACCTAAATACACATGTGACAAGTTATTTTGGTAAAAAAATAATTAACTCTGAAATAAATAATTTAAAAATTCAAACAGATTATATTCAAAATATAACAATTGAAAAATTAAAACAACTATTACCATCGAAGAGGGTTAAACGCGGTATTCTGAATCCTCTCGGGTCTCTTATTAAAAGACAGTAATTTGGACAATGATGATGCCATAAGGTACGATGCTTTAATGTAAAATTAAATCAAGGTCAGCTAAATAGAAAAATGACAGTGGTAGCCGAAATGATGAAAACTTTTATTAATGTTACAAATAGTACAAAATTCAATTTCATACAGCTGGATAAAACTCTTTGGGAAGTGAGAAAACAAAGTAATATAACAAATAACTCTCAAACGGAACTTAAAATATCTAACATATCAAACTGGATGAAATTGAAACAGCGGTAGCTTTTAGTAAACTAGAAAAATTGCATCAGTCTATTATTGACACTGATGAACTCTTGTCATTGTTAAAAATTATCGAACGAAGAAATAACCTTGTATTTCCTGTAAAAGTAGAAAACATTTTAAAATTAGAGCAAAGTATAGATTTAAAAGTATATGCAAAGGAAAATCAAATAACCTTTATTCTAGATATACCCCTAGTTGATTCGAATACATAGATTTATTACAAAATTCTTCCTTTACCTACCACTAATTCCATGAACCAAACATCCCTTATTGTACCTAAATACCCCTACCTTCTGATGAAAGGGTTGAAAGCAGTGTCACTTCTTCACCCATGTAAAGAAATTGATGACTCACTGTTCCTGTGTGAAGAGGATTATTCATCTATGTTAATTAAAGATAATTGTGTAACCAGCCTAATGAGTTTTGCAGCTAACACCACTTCATGCCGGCCCCTATTAGTAGAGTTTGATGATGTGAAGATAATGAAAATAGTAACCGATCGATGGATGTTCTACTCAAAAACTACAGTATTACTTACCAAACAATGTGGAAATGAAATATCACACTATAATTTAATTGGGACATATATAATCTCAGCCGACGACAACTGCGAAGCTAAAATTAAGGGATTCAGTCTGAAAAGGCATCATGAAAATATAGAGGAGTACCCGTTAACTCCCTTACCAATAATAAATCTTCCGGAAACACCACAGTTGTTAATAAAGACATCTTCAAATCCAGCAGCAGTAAGCCTGGATGACGTGGACCTGACTAATCTGCAGCAGCTAAACCAATTATTAACCACTGATAGTGTAAAAAGTGAGCAAAGTGAAAGTGTCATAAATGTGAAGGACATAAGTATCGGGACATTAATTTTATATGTAATTTTAGTTATAATAATTGTAATCCTATGTAAAAAATATTTGTATCGAAATTATCGGACTCGGAAAACTTCGCCCGGTAATTTCGAATCTGAGGGGGGAAGAGTTATGCATCCCGGTATTCACGGAACTGCACCGGAGACCATAACAATTCAAGCGTAATAATTCAAGCGCGTGGGCGTAGATTGCTGAATTGCGTCTGGAAGACGGGTGGTCTTTCCTGTGAATACTGATAACTGTTCTTTAGCTTAAAGATCTAGAATAAGAATTAGGATAGTCTTAGTTTGGCTCGCACATGTATCGCACATGTAGCCTTAGGTTAGAATCCATCGCGGTTTTGCTCTATCTCTTGCTTGAGTCTCATTAGTTGATGATGTTATGTTGTGTGGCAGTAGAGATCCGAATCGATAGTTTTGCCCGATGATAAAAGGTCATAAAAACTATGCTTTTCTAATTCCACCATATTCACAGCATCATCACCTTATTGCGTGTTAATCCGGATTTCGCTACAGTCTGAAGGTTGAATACTTTCTGACCATGATTTTTTTCGCAAGTTATTGTCATAGAAAATCCACTTTTCATCACCTGTGAACAATATTTTCAAAAATGGCTATACGTGGTAGAGTCACGCTGCAGCTTCACCATGGTTGTAGCATGAATGGGTCGGCTCGACCGAGGAAGAACCACGCTCTCACAGAATACCAGCGTAAAATATCAGATTAATGCTGCTGTGTGTCGTATGGTGAGTGTAGAGAACCGGAGACCTGTTTTACTGGAACCGAGGCATTCTATCTTAGTCCTCAAGGTGACAATGCATCTGCATTTTGATTCTTAATCGAGGTTAAATGTAGATGTCTATGGGAAACAGCATCCACTTACTTTCAGGTGCACTGTGCGCTCGTTTGTCACTTTTATCCTATATAATAACAATGTTTAGTATCATTACGTTTCAATAGAGAGTCGAAAATGAGTACACGATTCTTTAGGTTTATTTCAGTGAGATTGTGTGGTACACAAATATCGAGGTATTTGTAGAACCAGACTTTTTTGAATGTGATCAAAAATGATCAAAACTGAAATCCTCAATTTCTCGACTATGTCGTAACTATTAATGTGCCGATCTTGCACCCCTTTTCAAAAATGTCCTCGACTTTATCTGTATAAGGGCGACCAGAGCGAGGTGCATATTTGACACCAAAATTCTCGGACTGAAAACGCTTGAATCAACTTTGTGCTACTCTTACTGACACTGCATTAGGTCCATAAACGTCACATTTTTTTTCGCGGCTTGAATCGTTTTTTCCCTTTTTTGTAATAAAATTTCAGAATATATTGAGTTTCTTCGTTAGATTTACTTACTTTGGTGGACAAATAAACAATTGAAAAACGGCGGGAAAGTGTTTTTTTTTTTTTACTTTTTATTTTTCTTTTCTTAATGTCCTATATGTATTGATATATAAACTAGCCATATACGAACAGTACAACCGAAGAGATATTTGTTTTTATATTTTTGTGTTATTATCGTTTTATATAATTATTATTGTAAGTTGATAGGCGATGTATAATTGTCAATAGGTAGTTTCGGCATGTGCATTACTTCGTGATTTTGAGTTGCTGCCGGCTGGTGACGCAACATTGGTGGGTGAACGTGGTATCAGTTTGAGTGGAGGCCAACGTGCCCGTATTGGTCTAGCCCGAGCTTGCTACAGACAGGTATGTTTAAAACAGACTTAAGTATAATAACCAATATATCATCATCATCATTATCACATATAATGATGATCTATTGTCCCTTCACAAGTCCACTGCTGAACACAGGCATAAAGCACGGTCCTGAGCCTGAGACTTCTTGCATATCTTACCGGGAGGTCTTGTTTGCCCTCCATCTAGTAAGGGAACGCGCAACACTTCGTCTATGGGGATGAACACTTCTTCCTTCGAGCTATGACGAGGGCTATGCTCAGGTTTTCGCTGCATGATATAATTAAAAACGAGGATATCTGCATTAGAACCAGAGTAACCGACATAGCCCAACGGATTTGTAAGCCGAAGTTGCAATGAGATGATCGTGCTCGGTTTGGCTGGAACGTAACGGGACAATGAGTCATCATTTTTCGTGAATGTAGTCGGCGTTCGTCGATTTATTGACATTGTTACGTCAAAAAATGGTATGATAGTGTAATATTATCACGTTATAGATAAGCATTGTAGAGGCGAGGCTATTTAATTTCAGAATTAGGCAAAAAAGCTTTTTAAGTAGGTACATGTTACGTAATATTGAATATACCTAGGTGTACTCATAACAGTAAATTTTATCAAACTAATCTTGAATTTAATTTTATCCAAAAATTATATCTTATGAATAATAATTAATATGATCTAGAGAACTTTGAAGTGGTTTTGAAAATTTACGTAGTTATATTCTTCAAACAAGGTTTTCGATAAAGGTCCCGTAATTACTAAAACTAAGGCGACAACCGTTGGGGAAAAAAGGTTCTCGAGTGGCAGCCTCGTACCGGTAGGCGAAGTGTAGGGCGACCCACCACTAGATGGAGTGACGACCTCGTAAGACATGCAGGAAGTCGATGGATGCAGGTGGCTCATGACCGTGCTTTGTGGCATACCTTGGGGGAGGCCTATGTTCAGCAGTGAACTTGTGAAAGGCTGTAATGATGATGATTACGATGAATTAATATGATAACCGCCAAGTCATAAGTGTTTCGGACCATGGCCGAACTCTATTTTGCGACCGTAGTCGATAACTTAAAAATGATTACGGTGTGCCGCCCGTTATTTATAAAGCGTTATTTAGAGCAAATATATTTTATACATTATAATAATAACAATAAAGTACATTACAATTATTTTACCGTCTTATACGTAACGTGGTTCTATGATAGTCTCGGGCTTGAACTACAGTAGAACTATCTCAAAGAAAGAAGTCCATAGCCATAGCGTGGCGCCAGACTTCGCTGAATTTGACATTTGTTAATTAACAAATGTTGAATTTCGCGAATGTCAAATGCAATGTTTTTTTTTATAAAATAAGGGTGACAAACGAGCATATATTCCACTTGGTGGTAAGTGAATGCTGAGGTCCATATAATATAATCATCCATCCGTCCATGATAAATAAAAAAATAGATTGATATAACTAGTATGGATAAAAAATTGGATTTTACAATGGCGGTAACCCGCTAACAACAGTAACAACGGTATATAGTTATTATGTTGATTAAAACTTTAGGTATATAGTATCAGTTAATAATAATAATATGGTATCAGTTAATTGGAAAATATTTGAATAAGAATTATTTACACAAGTAGACACATTAAGTTTAAAATAAAATTTATAACCAGTGACCGGCACTGGCTTCGATTGGATAGAATTGAATTATTTAATAATAAGACTATAAAATAAAACAATGTATTTCTTAAAATAAGTTTATATTAATTTAAATAACAGTCAAGAAAATATTTCAAATAGGATAGACAGGCAAGAAACTCTATAGATATTTATTTTTTACATACAGCAATCTTTGAAATTTAAATTCTGCTACTTGAACTTTCACCAGAATCGTCGGAGAACATTTTGATTCCGGACATCCCTATCGGACATCGTTATCTTCATGATCATGGATAGAATTGGAGCAGCTATCGCTTTGACAATCGCTGTTCAGCCTAATACTAATTATAAACTCTTCAAAGTCATTTTCATTCGTTACCTCCCTCGTCCAATAATTATTTTCCAATATTTTTATGTGACCAATTTCTTTTTGCCAATCCACGTCCGTAATTGAGACTATTGCTTCACGCGATAGCACGTCTAGTTTTTTACAGCTGATCGACGTTATTTACGGCCACTTGTGTTTTACAAGATTCCACGCATATTCTATCGGGTTTACCTCGTATAGTTGTATAGTGGTAATCTTAATGTTTCATGGACGTGATTAGCTGGTAATTTATCTATAGCATAATCTTTCTCTGGCTTGTATTTTTTAACTAATTCTAAAAGCTCATACTTTGTCCATGAATCTTCAAAATGTATACCACTTTCGCGTAACCAATTTTGTATCTCACCTTTTCTGTTTACTACTGTTGGTGGTTTACTTACTTGCATGCGATGATACGGCGCATTGTTTATCACCCAATGCTATTTGGAGGTATGTTTGAATTTTTCCTCAATATACTTAGTGCAATTTTGCCTATTCATTTTATAACGTTAACCCCTTTTTTGGTTTTGGCCTTAAAATCGAATCAGCACCCTTCAAAAATCCATTTTCCACCAAGTCTATCACTGTTTTTCGTGTTTTCATGATTTATTATTTAAGTATAGAGTATGTAGTATTATTATAGAGATAGTTAGAAAAATGAGTTATGATATAACAAGAAGAAGAACCATAAAGCGTTGGAAAATTATTATATTTTTGAGATTTCTGACATTACCCGCTTTGGATTTAACATTTTATTCGTTTCACTATTTGCCATTATAGCGACCATTATAGTTACTTATAATTAAAAAGTTACAGCCCTGCGACAAAGAGATAAATAGACTCAATAATAGATTTCCGACGCGTAGTAGCGGTGTAAGAATATCTACTACCCCATATCACCACGTGGGTGTCTTAGGGGCGACAGAGAGAAACAAATCATGAGATCGGCAGCAGCATATTACTAATAATGGCTAAAAATAAAAATAAAACTGCGGTTTCCTTGCGAACTTGCGAAGCGTGGCTACTATAGCAAAATCGCCCATAAGAGGAAATCTATCTATGGGAGGCTTATTCAGTACTGCACTTTAATAAGACGTAACGGTTACGGTATGGGGCACACTTTGGTTACGGAACCTTAAGAACGGATAAGCTTGGAAAAACGAATGTAATATCTTTAATTTATGGTACATAGTCTGTTCGAATCATTAATAATAAAATAACGGATAGCTACTAGATGAACTTGGTACTCACCATCTTTTTTGATTCAAGTGACAATCTTGTTGCCATACTCGCCCTTGCATAACTATATTGCAATGTGTGATAAGTGATAACGTTCCAGATTTTTGCCTTTTTCAAAATCCTTTATTACATTATATACAATTTTACATGTAGCACTGTGTAGTACTTTCACGTGTTTGTAGACCATTGTTAACAGAATGTAAATAAAATAATAAAAGAAAAATCCCCAAATAACTTAATAGTCAACAAAAACGAAATAACTATCAACGCTTTATAATAAATAATAATTTTTATTTATTTATTTATTTAACTTCATATACACATTAGATGTATATAGGCGGACTTAATGCCTGAGGCATTATCTACCAGTCTACCTTAGAGTAGTGCAGAGATAAAAGAGGTAGGTGTAATAAGAAGTATGTACAATATATATCAACACATAAGCGTATATCATATAAGCGTATAAATATATACATATATAAACATTATGTAAGTATATATACATAAAATTAAATATATATATATATATATATATATATATAATATACATTATATATATGACCCAACCAACCATGATAGAGTTCTCCGTTCTAGTAATAACCTTTTGCTTCAGTGCCCCCCTTTTAGTACTAACTTTGTACAATCATCGTTCTTTGTTCAATCTGTTCTTCTTTGGAACGCTCTTCCTTCCGAAATCAGGAGTGCCGAAAACCGGATTTTGTTCAAGTCTAAAGTGCGAGAACTGCTCGTCAATAAAACAGCAGAATCAACTTAGCGTTCGTAGTTAGCCGTGTTTAATATTATATTTAATATATATGTGTGTGTATGTATGTATATATATATAATATACATACATACATACACACATATATATATATGAAATATAATATTAAACACGGCTAACTACAAACGCTAAGTTGATTCTGCTATTTTATTGACGAGCAGTTCTCGCACTTTAGATTTGAACGAAATCCGGTTTTTGGCACTCCTGATTTCGGAAGGAAGAGCGTTCCAAAGAAGAACAGATTGAACAAAGAACGATGATTGTACAAAGTTAGTACTAAATGGGGGGCACTGAAGCAAAAGGTTATTACTAGAACGGAGAACTCTATCATGATTGGAGCTAAGATATTGAAAATGAGGAGTTAAATAAGATGAAGGATTAGGAGACATCAAGAAAGAGTAAATAGTAGTGAATGCACGTAGACTACGGCGCTGACGAATGGGTAACCAGTTAAGTTGAGAGCGATAAGTAGACACATGATCATACTTTCGAAGATTAATTTCAAAACCAATAACAGCGAGTATTAACAAAATCAATAATAGTTATGTAATAACTCTTAGAAAGTGTCAGCTCACAAAGTTGCGAAACCGGGATATTTTTTTAGTTTATGGCATTTTGTTAACATGGCACAAATATGCCAATGACAAGTCGGACTGAAGGTATAGCACATACGAAAAACGTATATTGCAACGTATTTTATCCATATTCATATCCATATTTTATTTTCAATCAAACAAACTCAAGAGACATAACGCGTTGCATACGTTGCGTACGTGGGACCAGTCTGGCTCTACCTTAAGAGGGTAGACGGACTGAATTTTTTCCATACAAATGTATTCCCCTATTTTCTTCCTGTATAATGCTGGATAATGCCTGAAGGCATGCCCCTGTCATTTACTTTTTTTTTTTCAAAAAATTATTACAAAAATAAATATAACCTAAAAAAATGCCCCGTTTTTACCTCCGTAATCAGACGA